ATCTTCCCTCTGCAAATGAATTTAAAGAGAGCTTACAGTCAGTCAGTCCCACAGCAGACCATAAATGGAGTCCTGCTAAGATGACACAATACTGCCCCTGTAGGCAGAGCCCACTAGAACCAAGCATTCTGTCTCCTTGGAAGGAGCCACAGCCCAGAGTTATTCGGTGTCACAGGCAGCGGGTAGTTTTAGCAGAATGTGGAGAAGTGAGGAATACCAGGATGAAGTATCACGGCATTGAACAGGACACCGCCAAGCTCTTCCTCCCCAGGGTCAGCTAGGCAGATATAGGCAAGGTCTCCCTCCCCCAGTCCCCAGCAAGAGTGTTTCTCCTCGAGAGCTGTGGCTCCCCTGGCTGAGATGTAGGTAGCCACTTGAGCTGTGTGTGTGGGGTCTCAGAACCTGCATGGTCGTGACTGTGACTCAGCCCTCATGTCCTCTGTGAGTTGGCCTTCCTGGCCTCTGGGCTCCAGCTGCCTTCTCTGAGGAAGCGTGGGTGGCCAGCTGACCTCCAGGCCCTTACAGCCAGGCCCTAAGAGGGCCCACGGACAATCAACTCGTTCTTCAGCAAACGGCCTGGAGAAGTCATATTGACTTTGCCGCTGTTGGGAAACCCCAGCTGGCATTTGGTGTGGAATCCAGAGAGCCGCGGAGACGTCTCTCTGAACAAGAACAGCTCTCACTGTTGTGGTCGTGGCTCACGCCCTTAATCCCAGCACTCTGGGGGAAGAGGCAGGTGGATCTCTGTGAGTTCGAGGCCAACCTGGTCTACAAAGTGAGTTCCAGGACAGCCAGGGTTACCCAGAGAGAAACTCTGTCTTAAAAAAAACAAAACAAAACAAAAATAATAAAAACAAACAAAAAACCCAGCTCACGCCCCGCAGTGGTGGCAAATGCCTTTAATCCCAGAACTCAGGAGGCAGAGGCAGGTGGATCTCTGTGAGTTCAAGGCTAGCCTGGTCTACAAAGTGAGTTCCAGGACAACCAGGGTTACACAGGGTTACACTCTGTCTTAAAAAAACAAAACAAGTCGGGCGGTGGTGGCTCACGCCTTTAATCCCAGCACTCGGGAGGCAGAGGCAGGTGGATCTCTGTGAGTTCGAGGCCAACCTGGGCTACAGAGCGAGATCCAGGAAAGGCGCAAAGCTACACAGAGAAACCCTGTCTCGAAAAACAAAAACAAAACAAAACAAAAAAACCCAGCTCTCCACTAAGCTCCATACCTGACTTCAACCAAAGGAATGCTGAGCCCCAGAGTCTTAGTGGATTCTGACAAGGGCCTTGGGCTCTTGTCCTATGCAGGAGTCCCCAATTTCCAGTCTCATGCCCTCCCTATCTTCAGAAAGGGACACAGAGGGGTAATATGGTATTGATGAACTGGAAGGCCAGAAGCGACTTTCAGGGCCCCATTGGACTCTGCCTGATGAGTGAAGTCTGAGGACCACACTTTCTCCTTTTAGAAGACAAGAGTAGAGAATGGGACAGCTCTTCTCCAGTGTCTACTCCTGTGACATTTCAAATGTGGGCAGGGCCAGATTTGCCAAGTAATTATGAATTTATTTAGTGGGGGCCATGGGAGCCTTTAATCCCAGCACCTAGGAGGCAGAGGCAGGCAGGTTTCTGAGATTTAGACCAGCCTGGTCTACAGAGTGGGTTCCAGGACATCGAGGGCTACACAGAGAAACTGTCTTGAAAAAAATTATTTAGGTAACTTTGAATTTCACACAACAAATAAATTTTAGTATTCTCTAATTGCAACTTTAATTGGGTGCCCTTTTTAATTTTTTTTATTTTTATTTTTTATTTTTTTTTTTAGCAACAGTCAGATCTGGGTTAGGTGGATGCCGGAAACCCACAAGGAAATGACACCGGCTTCATTCTGTCTCTCGGGGCCACTGGCACTAGCCATTTCCCTTCATGTCTCCAGCCCTCCACCACCTCCATCCCCTCCATCCCCAAGTATGCTCCGGTCCCTGAAGCCGGGCCTTCTCCTCTTCCCTGAGACATACTTCTAGAGGGCTCCAAGGCCGGGCAGGGTAGCAGGCAATGAAGGGTGATAGAAGTATGTCTGAGGCCATGGATACATGGACACTGGGGCTTGGGCAGGGGCAGGAGGGTCAGAAGTCCAAGTTAGCGACAATTTCACTCAAGAGGCAGAAGTGTTGAGTGTTGTTGGGAAGTTACAACACTCTCCCAAAGACGGTCCTCCTTGGCTGGAGGCAGGGGGCGCTAGTCAGCCTCCAGTACTCCTGCTGCGTGGGGAAGTGGAGGGGGGCGTCAAGAGGCATACTTCCTCCCTTTTCTCTCCCTGGATTCAGTCATCAAAGATTGCGAATAGAGAGGGTCTTCTCCGGAGCCAGATCCCAATTGCACTTGGCTTAATCCTGGAAGGTTCTGTTTTTAAGAAGTAGAAAGGGCCAAGGGATAATGCGAAACAGAGGCAGAAAGTGGGAGAGAGACCAGAGACCTATTCTGTGGAGGAGACTGAGCGAGCTGGAGGGTCCCTGAGCGACAGAAGGGGTGGGGGTGGAGTGCAGGTCCAAAGCAGTCAAGGAAATGCATGCAAAACCAAAACCAAAAGTCCCCTTCCTCCACTGACCTACAGTGACAGAGAGAATAGGAGGGGAAAACGGAGGCGCCCCAATGGGTGATGGAGATGGAGAAATGCTGAAATCGGAAAACGGAGACTGGGAGAAAAGACAAAGCTTGGAGAAGTCTCAGTATGACAGAGGAAAGGGGGACCAGAAGGCAGGAGAGGGTTCCAAGAAGCCAGCTGTTTCCCAGAGGCCAAGTCAGAGTGGACCAGCCGCAGGGGATGCAACCACACCAAAGCCTCCCAAAGTGACCTTCCTCACTTCCCCAGACCAGGCAACGTCCCCGCCACCACCTCATTACGCCCCTTCCCCTGGCTCGGCTGCTACACGGCTCTGTTCCACCCTTGACAGTCTCCATGCATCCACCTGTCGGCCGGTTTTCTTGAGAGAGGCCTCTCAGGTCAAGTCCCGGGTCCCTGCGCGCACCTCGGCGCTGGACGATGCTGCCACCTGGCGGCCCGACTCTGACCGCCTGAGTCCTTCCAGGAATCCCACCTGGCAAGCTCATCCAGGCTGAGAGGGCTATCGGCTCCTTGACCACAGTGAACAAACAAGTCCTTAGCCTCGGCTTCCTCGTTAAGTCTTTAGCCTCGTTTTTTTTTTTTTTTTTTTTTTTTAATCAGGAAGGAAATGTACCAGCAACTTCCCACAAAGTTGCAAAGGGGCGGGGACACTAATGCCCCAGTACTGTGGGGATGCTGGGCTAGGGTTTTCCTTTTCCAGCCCAGCGCCTTTCCTCCCTTCTTGGGCAAAGCACAAAGGAATGGCACCATTCATATGACACCCCACCCCCCTTACTGTCTCTCTTGGTCCTTGGCCTGTCTTTCTGAAATCTCTGCCTTCCTCCCTTTTCATGCCTCTCTCATCTCTGGGCAGGTACAGCACCCCTTCTTTCATGTGAGGTACAGGGGTGAGGGTGGGGGTAACTAGGCATAATTCAGCAGTCTTGAGCTGATCTCTCAAATTTTCCATTTTAAAGATATTTTTATTCCAGGCGGTGGTGGTGCACATCTTTAATCCCAGCACTGGGAGGCAGAGGCAGGTGGAGTTCTGAGTTCAAGGTCAGCCCAGTCTACAGAGCAGTTCCAGGACAGCCAGGATTATACAGAATTAAAAAAAAAAAAAAAAAAAAACACCTGCCAGCTGGTGGTGACCCATACCTTTAATCCCAGCACTCAGAGGCAGACACAGGCAGATCTCTGTGAGTTTGAGGCCAGCCTGGTTTACAGAGTGAATTCCAGGGCAGCCAAGGCTATACAGAGAAACCCAAAACCCTGTCTCAAAAAAACAAAATTCAGCTGGGCGGTGGTGGTGCACGCCTTTAATCCCAGCACTCGGGAGGCAGAGCCAGGAGGATCTTTGTGAGTTCGAGGCCAGCCTGGTCTACAGAGCAAGATCCAGGAAAGGCACAAAACTACACAGAGAAACCCTGTCTCGAAAAACCAAAAAACAAACAAACAAACAAAAAAAACAAAACAACAAAATTCAGGTTTTCAGGCTTGGCAGTAAGCGCCTTTACCCACTGAGTCATCTGCTGGCCCTGCTGGGTTTTTGTTGTTGTTTAAGATTTATTTATTTCATTTTATGTGTGTGAGTATTTTATTGCATATGTGTACGTGCACCATGTGCATGCCATGTGGCCTCCGAGTTCAGAAGTGGGTGTCATCTCCTAGAACTATAGCTTCAGATGCTTGTGAGCCAACCCAGGTCCAAGAACCCGAGTCATCTCCCCAGACCACTCCCCACCTTGTTCTTTACTTTTTTTCTTCTCTCTCCTCTCTCTCTCTCTCTCTCTCTCTCTCTCTCTCTCTCTCTCTCTCTCTCTCTCTCTCTCTCTCTCTCTCTCTGTTTTGTTTTTGTTTTGAGACAGGGTTTCTCTGTAGCCCTGGCTGTCCTGGATCTCACTTTGTAGACCAAGCTGGCCTTGAACTCACAGAGATCCACCTACCTCTGCCTCTCCAGTGCTGGGATTAAAGGTGTGTGCTACCACCACCCGGCTTTTTTATTTTATTTATTACTACCACTACTAGTAATTCTGGCTGTCCGGGATCTCATTAAGTAGACCATACTGGCTTTGAACTCACTGAGATTTTCTGCGTGTTGGGATTAAAGGTTGGTGTCACCACGCCCTGCCCTAACTACTTAAATGCAGCCCAGAAGAGGGATTCCCAGAGTGCTCCGCAACAAGGTTGTTAAATCAACCTCTCCCACCTCCCAATTCCTCAGACTCAGGCAAGCTCAGCTCCTCTCCACTTCTGTTCCCTGAGCTTGGGCTAGAAGCCCGACTCAGGTGTGTTAACTCCGCCCCCGTTCCGAGGCTGGGCCCCATAGGTGGAGGGAAGTTGGAAAGGTCGTGCCCAGTCGCTCCTTCCTTACACACGGAAGTTCAGTGGCCCGCTTGCCAGGATGCCGGGCGCCTGGGTCCCAGGTTTCGCGCTCACCTTGCTCTTCAGCCTGCTCTCCAGTTCCCAACCAGTAAGCGCCAATGCGGTAAGTAAAACTTCTTTTGGAGGACCGCATGGGGCAGAGGCTTGCTTCCGAGCCGGTCCCGCCTTACCTTGTCAGGAATTCCTCGTAACCACTGGCAATTAGCAACTTCCTTTCTGTTTTGTTTGGAGAAAGTGGAGGGAGGAGGGAGGCTCTGGGAAACCAGGGCCCCTAGGCTTGGCCCTGTTGTGCTGTTAGTGAGATTTGGCTCCACTCACAGCCCTGAATGGGAACCTTGACCCCCGATTTTGTCATGGCTTGTCTTATTTAGTTTCTTCTCTGTGTAAGTTTGAGGAACCTGAGGTCTTGCCTGTCTGGGCTAGGCGTTCCCTGTACCTCCGTGGCTGGTGACCTTGGGGGAGTTTATCGGCCCTCTCTGGGACTTCTCTTGTGTACTAGGGAGGAGGAGGCCCTTCTAACTTCTTTGATTAGTTCCAGTTTGCCCTCGGAGTAGACCTGGCTGCCCGGCCCCGGGCTGGGTGGCCTCTGTCTTGTGACCTAGGGAGGCAGGGTTTGAGCGCTGCCCTGTGCTCTTTCTTGTTCCTCGAATTCCAAACTCGAAGTGTCTTGGCTTGGCAGATTCCTGCAAACAGAAGTGGTCAGAGCATAAGCCTTTTAAATGTACAGTCTTGGTTGAGAATCTGTTGGGGGACAGGGGTGAAGTCCCAAGGCTGCTCCTCAGAACAGTTCACTGGCTGTTTGGAGTTGAAGTTCTCTGTCCAAGGCCATGCATGAACCCTGTTTCAAGGCCCTCTTTCCACTCTTGGACCCCAGCATCCTTTGTTGACCCCTTCCTGCAGCTCCAAGTATAGGCATTGTCAGCCTCCCCAATCAGAGCTAATAAATCCAGGTTACCATCCCACTCCATGCTCCCTAAAACCCGGGCTCCTAACCATCCCAGATCAGACCACCACCCCCTGCTTAAGATGGGAAGGGAATAATCCTGGCCCAGTTTATGAACCCTGCCATTAAAGCATTACTTTTAAAATTCCTTTGCAGGGGATATCATGATGTAGATTAGGCTGACCTTGAAGTCCACAAAGATCTGCCCCTGCTACTTCAGCCCTGGAAGTAAAAGTGGGCTGGAATTAAAGGCAGGTGCGACCCCTGCTACCACTCCTTAAATGTAATACGGGAGCCCGCTGGTGATGGTGGCTCACGCCTTTAAACCCAGCACTCAGGACACAGAGGCAGGCGGATCTCTGAGGCCAGTTTACCTCTACAGAGCAAAGTCCAGGACATCTGGGGCTATACCGAGAAACCGTACAACAAAAATGCAGTACAGGGCTGGGTGGTGGCGCACGCCTTTAATCCCAGCACTGGGAGGCAGAGCCAGGCGGATCTTTGTGAGTTCAAGGCCAGCCTGGTCTACAGACTGGGATCCAGGACAGGCACCAAAACTACACAGAGAAACTCTGGGGGATGGGAGTGTCGGGGGGGATGTGTCAGTGATATTTGGAAGAGCAGGGGGTGTGACTGAGTTCCTGGGTCCCTTGCTGTGTCTTTACCTTCCTGTACCTCTCTTCCCTTCAGAATAGTGCTACTAGCTGGGCGGTGGCAGCGCACGCCTTTAATCTCAGCACTTAAGAGGCAGAGGCAGGTGGATTTCTGTGAGTTCAAGGCCAGCCTGGGCTACAGAGCTAGTTCTAGGACAGGCTCCAAGGTACGCAGAGAAACTCTGTCTCAAGAGAAAAAAAAAGGAGCAATGCTACTGTGAGCATGGAGAGAAAGACTGATTCCCAGCTGTGGCCATCACTGGTCCTCTTGTCTTTACTCAGCAAATGAAATTCTATTGTAATGATCTTTAGCAAAGCCAAAAGCTGGCTTCCTGTTTTTGTTGAGACAGGGTCTGGCCTGGCTGCCCTAGAAATTGCTATGTAGGCAAAGCTGGCCTCCACTAACAGATATACCTGCTGGTGTGCCGGGATTAAAGGCAAAGACCACTACACCAGGCAATGGGTGTAATTTTAAGTGAGGTGGCCAGAGAGAGAGATGCCTTGGGGACACCTAGGAGAAGAGAGTCCTAGTCCTGAGCTTAGTCACAGTACTGCTATCAACAGGGTGGGAACTCTCATGTGGAGACCCAATACCCAGCAGGGATCTGAGGCTGAATGGGGCTTGAGTGTGTTTAGGGAACTCCTAGAGATGCCTCTACCTGGGACATGGGGTGCAGAGGGAGAGGAGCTTAGGTTGATTTCTGGAGGTTCTGGAGCCTCTAAAGCTTCACTAAGGGTGGCTTCCTGGGCCAGTCCCCAACTGTGGGTGTGTCAGGGGAAATCACCCGGAGCCAGGTTATAGTAGTCCACACCTTTAATCTGTCTGGAGGCAGTTAACAGGCAGATCTCTCAATTCCAGGCTAGCCAGGGCTACATAGTGAGACCCTGCCTGTCTCGATTCAAAAGGGGTGAAAATAGGAGGCACAGTAGTACATGCCTTTAATCCCAGCTCTAGGGAGGCAGAGGCAGGCTCCAACCGTTGATCCTGCACTTGGAGCTGGAGGAAGGGAAGAGGCAGAGTCTGAGACGACACTGTCCTGGATGTCTGAAGCAATGTCTGAGACCAGCCTCTGATTCTTCTTTTTTTGGTTTTTCGAGACAGGGTTTCTCCGTGTAGCTTTGCGCCTTTCCTGGAACTCACTTGGTAGCCCAGACTGGCCTCGAACTCACAGAGATCCGCCTGCCCCTGCCTCCCGAGTGCTGGGATTAAAGGTGTGCGCCACCACCGCCCAGCTGATTCCCCTTTTTGAGACAGGGTCTCTTGTATCCCAGTCTGGCCTCAAACTGGCTATATAGCCTCGAATGATTCTCCTGCCTTCTCTTGGGTTCTGGTACCATTATTCCTGGTTCATGCACACTTGATCCATTGCCATTGTTAGAAACTGAACACAATGTCTAGTGTATGCTGGGCAAGCACTCTAAGACCTGCGACCCAACTCTCGGTTTTTGAACTCTGACCTCTGCATGTTTTTCCCCCCACAGGTTGTATTCAAATGTGGCTCCATGTAAGTATGGGTTTTTTTTTTGTTTTGTTTTGTTTTGTTTTTACTATAATTGTCAGTCAAGGCTGGGAGGTGGGGGGAAGCAGTGTGTGCTCAAACAATGCCCCAGGATAAGGAAATAGACCACTCCTCACTCATCCTACTTTTGCTGAGGCCATACCCCCCCTCCCATCAACCACCCAACCTTGGGAGGGAGCTGCAGGCCTGGGGAAGGTCCGTAGCTGCTGTTAACCCCCAACCTTTCTTACCTGGAGGGTAAGTCGAATGAGCGAAGCCACACTCGAACCCCATGCCTGCCCTGTAAGGTTACTGTTGTGATCATTCTGCCTGAGGAACAGTGGCCATGTTGAACCCCAAACTCGGGTCTCAAGTCCAGGCCTCAGTTCCTCCCAGGAAACCCAGGATGGATCTGTACCCCACACCCACTAAGGGTGGCTTGTAACCTGAGGGTATATGTGTCTGGGGAAGCAAGGACCCTTTGGTCTGACACTTTGGTGACGTCAGTCTCCCCCATCCCTGTCTGACTTGACCAGAAACTGCACCAGAGGATTTAGATGCTGTGCCAGTGGATGCTGCCCAAAGATAAATGTATGGGATTCTTCAAATGATACCTTCAGGTAAGGCCAGGGTCAGAGCCCTTCTGGGCACCGTTCACAGAGGGCTGGGTCCACCGGAAATAGGATGGGGGTGGATGATGGGGGAGATCCGGCGAGGGAGAGGGGTCTAGGCACTCACAGAGATATCACCCTCTCCCCAGGATCTTGTTCATCCTCTTCATGGTGATGATACCTCTCTTGTGCATCTGCGGCTTTGTGAGGCGCTTCTGTCCCAAGTGCAGAGAACCAGAGCAGAACCGCAGACCGAGTCGTCAGATACCTCCAGAGCCACCTTCCATTGCCCCCCTAGAGACGATCTGGGTCACCACCTTGGATCCCCCACCACCCTATAGTCAGGTGGGTCTTTCTGTCCCAATCTTAACTTGTGTCATAGCTGGCTGTCGAATTGGTTGAAGTAACAGAATGGGGGGGCTCCCAATCCACCTTGTCACTCCTTACCCAGCCCAAAGCAAACCAAGTACCCTTTTCTTCCTGCAGGTTGTTCAGAAGCCAGTTCCCACAGAACCACCTCCTCCCTACAGCCTCAGGCCTGAGGAACCTGCGGACCCAATGAGAGGCACTTTGAGCCAGGCCCTTTGAGTTACCTCATCCACAAACTTCTTGGATCAAGCCCAGGACTTTGGAGACTCTTCTGGAATGACTCCACTCATCCCATCATGACCTTGATCCTTTGATTTAATTTATTGTTTTTCTACCCCTGTGCCTCGCCAACTACCTTTTGTCTGAGCTGAACTGGATCCATAGTCTCTGTCATAACTCCCAAGCTCAAGACTGTTGAGGGTGCCTGCGGTGGGATGCAGAGCTTGACTGAACAGCTTGCTCTGCCGTCCCACAGAAGCACTTCTGTGCCTGGAGGAGATTGAAGACTGAACTGCATGGACTCTGATACACCTTCGAACAATACCTGCACAGACCGGACCCCACTGTCCTCCACAGCCATACACAAAACACGTGCACTTGCTAGAGTTTCACCGACTGGCCTCTGGCTCTGGCTGCGAAGTGGTGATGGAGATGAGTTCAGAGGCCAAGCGTCAGTCAAATCCTTCCACACGGTGACTGTGTTGACCACCTCCCTGGGAGGAGTGTGCATCCAAGCTGTGAATAGATGCTTTGACCTTAAGTTCCCTGGGGCCTGTGACTACTAAAGAAATGGACCAGAATGCTCCCTGGATCCTTTTCTCCTCTCTGCTTTCTGGGTGAACTGGACTTGATATGCATGGGACTCTTAGGGGAGACCAGAAAAGAGACTTCTAGAAGGTAGGGTGGGAAGGAAGCCTCAGAGGCAGGTGTGGTTAGACATCTGTAGAGTGAGGCTTACAGAATGCTTCCTTCCAGATTCCTCTCCAGGAATCTCCTGAGGAAGAGGAGTTGCAGACCCCACCCTGCTCTTCCTGCTGAGTCTGGGTCCCCACCTACAGTTAACCCCTAAGGGGAAGAATTCAGTCCTGTGGCTGAGGAGCTGAACAGAGCTCAGTCAGTCCCTGCGAGGCCTGGGCACTGCTTGGGGCTCCCGCTCGCCCTCAGGTGGGGTGATGAAGTCAGGCAGATTCCTGGTGCCAGTGCTTTGGGGCTGGCAGCAGTGCTAGGTACCTCCACCTCATCCTGGTCTTTGCTGTGCAGGGTTGCTAGGTACCACCTCCACCTCATCCTGGTCTTTGCTGTGTGCTGCAGGGGATTCAAGGCCAGCCTTCCTTTTCAGAGACTAGAGAAGTCCTACAGCTGGACTTTGACCTGCAGGAGGAGGTCACCTGCCTGTCACTAAAGATAGTATAGGGCTTTTAATTTCTCTACAGCAACAGTGGTGTGGCCTGAAGAGAGTGGCCATCCCAAAGCTCAGTGCCTGAAATAACTTACTTTAATTTTTATGTATCTGTGAGGGCATTGGATCCCCTGGAACTGAAGTTACAGGTGGTTGTGAGCTGCCATGTGGGTGCTGGGCATTGAACCCATGTCCTCTGGAACAGCAGCCAATGCTCTCTCCAGCCCCCTGGAATGACTTCTATTGCCATTTCAGTTACTACTGTTGGTGGGAGAGGAAGAGATGTCATCTTTTCAGAGGCCATCTTGCGCTGTCCACTCATGCCGCCAGTGTTTATAAAGCTACTCTACTACGCCTGGCCTGGTGTCCAGGATGAGATCAGGTGCAATTCTCCAGACAAGTCTGCAGAGAGGCTTACCCACTAAATCTCTCATGGTGCACTGGGCTGGGTGAGGGGTGACGATGGTCCACCTCCATTGACCTATGGAAGCTTGTTCTGTAAGGCATGCATACCGCCTATCCTGTAAGCTTGAAGGATCTGCCGTGCTGATCTACATCATGTCTGTCTTTTACTGTTGGGAGAAAAGGGAAGTTCAAAGCAGCTTTGGTTTGTAAAATAAACTCCGCCGTTACATTTTAAATGTTAAATGTGTGTGTTTCTACATATCTTTGAAGAGCTAGAAGAGACAGGTGCTGTAGTATAGTCCTATAGTCTCAGCTGTATCAGAATCTGAGGCAGGAGGATTAAAGCTAGCCTGGGTGACTTAGTTGCGATCTTATCTCAATTTAAAAGGGGGGAAGAGGAGCTGGCGGTGTAACTCAGTGGTAAAGAACTTGCCTAGCATTTGCAAGACCCTGAGTTAAGTCCCAGTTCCTGCCCCAGCAATTCCAGAAGGATATGAGCTGCTCGGCAGAGCTGCTGGGAGCAGTGTGCAGGTGGCTAGGTGTGGGGAGGATGTTTTTCTCTTCTAGACAAGTTTCTCTGTGTATCCCTGGCTATCCTGGAACTCCTGTAGAACAGGCTGGTCTTAAGCTGGGCGGTGGTAGCGCACACCTTTAATCCCAGCACTGGGAGGCAGAAGCAGGCCAAAAGAGCTCTGTGAGTTCAAGGCCAGCCTGGTCTACAGAGTGAGTTCCAGGAAAGGCTAAAGCTACACAGAGAAACCCTGTCTCAACAAAAAAGAACAGGCTGACCTTGAAGTCACAGAGATCCACCTACCTCTGCCCCCCAAGTGCTGAGATTAAAGGTGTCCACCCACCACCTGGTTTAAGATTTTATTTTTAGCCGGGTGGTGGCGGCACACGCCTTTAATCCCAGTACTGGAGGCAGAGCCAGGCGGATCTCTGAGTTCAAGGCCAGCCTGGGCTACCCAGTGAGCTCCAGGAAAAAAGATTTTATTTTTAATCTATATTAGTGTTTTGCCTGCATGTGTATCTGCATCAGTGTGCATGCAGTGCCCTTTCAGGACCCTAGGGCCAGAGGGGGCATCAGATCCCCTGGAACTCGGGTTCCAGACAGTTACAGCCAGAGTATAGGTGCTGGAGGTTGATCCCGAGTCCTAGAAGAGCTGCCAGTACTCCAAATGCTGAACCATCTCTCCAGCCCAAAGTTTCTATTTTGTGTGCTTTAGCATTGCTTGAGTTTTTTCCAATGAACAAGCCTTGCTTTTGTAGATTTGAGAGATGTGTTCACAGGAATTTGTTTATAGGCAGATGTAGGAATTTCTGAAGGGCTGGGGATATAGCTCAGTGTCATTGTTTGTCTAACATGTACAATGCCTTGGGTTCAACCATTAGCACTGGGAAAAAATACTAGGTGAAATTTGATCAATGACAGTTGGTATCATTTTCAGCCCTGTTATGAACACTGTAAGAAGACTGTAGCAAAATGTTTTCCTGTGTCCCACCCTGTCCACAGCTGCTCAGACCCAAGTAAACACACAGAGGCTTATATTAATTAAAACTGCTTGGCCATTAGCTCAGGCTTTCCACTGACTAGCTCTTACATTTAAACTCAGCCCATTTCCGTTAATCTATATGTCTCCACGTGTCCGTGGCTTTACCTGTGTGCCATTACATGCTGCTCCCTGGACAGCAGGAGGGCGGCTCCTGACTCAGCCTTTCTTTTCCCAGAATTCTCTTTTCTGTTTATCCTGCCTATACTTCCTGCCTGGCTACTGGCCAATCAGCTTTTTATTTATCAACCAATCAGAGCAACACATTCACAGCGTACACAGCATAAGACTGACAGGTGGGCACACATGACATGTAAATGACCCTGAGGATATAACAAGCAACAGACATGCAAAGACCTGGATATCTGTGGACATAAGAACATTTGAAGCCCATGTGCTCAGCCTCTGGGACTCAACGGGCTCTGGGTATAGACTGGGTGAGAAGCAGCCAGCTCCAGCCTGGCTAGCTGGGGGCTGGATGAGCAGTTTGCCAACGAGTGAGAATTCACCCCTCATGGAGATGTAGCAGCTCAAACTCATGAATGAATGATGAGAGATAGTGGGTGAATGAGGGAGGAAGTCTGTGAGGGGAATGAATGAGATCTGCCTCCAAGTGTTTGTACAGAAACACACAGCTTGGTTAGCACCTAGAAGCTCTTTGGATCTCCTTGATAGGAGTTCCCTGAGGATGCTGGGGGGTGGGGGGAGGATGGGACACACACAGTGGGGAGCTAAGGGAGCATGCTCCTGGGACAGGGGGAGAGGGAAGTGCAGGTGCTGGACAAGGGAAGGAGGGATGACAGCATTGCCATCATCAAACTCACCAGAGCTGAGATTCAGGGCTTACAGCTGCATCCAGCGTCACCAGGTCTCAGCCTTCCCATCTGCACAAGAGAGATGAGCCCCTTCCCAAGTCTTTGGTGAAATACCCCTCCCCCCTCTCTCCCTCTCCCTTCCTTCCTTCTTTTCTCCCTTCCCTCCCCTCTCATCCCTCCCCCCTCCTCCTCTTCTTTTTGGTTTTTTTGAGACAAGGTTTCTCTGTGTAGCCCTGTCTGTCCTGGAACTGCTTGCTCTGTAGACCAGGCTGTCCCCTAACTCAGAGATCCATCTGCCTCTGCCTTGAAGTGCTGGGATCAAAGGCATGCGGCACCACATCAAACTAGGATATACCTTTCTGGCTCTGTTTTGTGAAGGGCTGGGTGGGAAGATGTGACTGTCTGCTTAAACCCTTTTCTTAAAGCCTTTTCTGTTTCCTGCCGTGAGTTAGGTCAACTTGACACAAGCCAGAGTCCTCAGAGAGGAGGGGGCCTCAGGAGAAAACGCCTCCAGAACATCTGGCTATCAGCAAGCCTGTAGGGCATTTTCTTAATTAGCGATTGATGTGGGAGGAGGGCCCAGCCCATTGTGGGTGCCACCCCTGAGCTAGCGGGTCTGGGTTCTATAAAAAAGCAATCTGAGCCAGCGACAATGGTGCACGCCTTTAATCCTCAAATTCCAACACCCGGGAGGCAGAGCCAGGTGGATTTCTGTGAGTTTGAGGCCAGCCTTGTCTACAGAGCGAGATCCAGGATCCAGGACAGGTACCAAAACTACGCAGAGAGAACTTGTCTCAAAAAACAAAACAACAACAACAACAAAAAAAAAAATTTGAGCCAGGTGTGGTGGTGATTTGCCTTTAATCCCAGCACCGGGGAGGCAGAAGCAGGTGGATCTTTGTGAGTATATGACCAACCTTGAGCAAATTTCAGTTCCTGGACAGCCAAGGCTGTTACACAGAGAAACCCTGTCTGGGGGTGCAGCACCCTCCCTGGCCTCTACATCAGCTCCTGTCCAGGTTCCTGTCCTATTTGAGTTCCTGCCCTGACTTCCTTCAATGATGGACTGTGATGTGGAAATGTAAACCAAATAAACCTTTTCCTTTCCTTTTGGTGGTGGTGTTCATCACAGCAATAGTAGCCCTGATGAGGACATCTTCCTAGCCTCTGACCTCCAGTTCTGAGCACTAGCTGTGGATCTGGTTCAGGTGTGTATTAATGTCCACACTGGCCATTCTCCAAGACTTCCAAGGCACTCACAGTGCCCTCACTCATGTACCGTAATTATGACTGTTAACATTAACATCGGAAATCTAACCCAACTCTCCATCCACCCTGCTTATCTAGGACGACTCCAGATTCTGCTTGAATTAGTCTTTTGCCCAAGAACCAGCACACCTGTATGAGTGCATCCACTTTCAAATCCAGTCCACATGTCTCCTGGGGCCTCGCTCCTCCAACACCCCCCCCCAAAGTCCCGTGAAGTGGGTCACCCAGACCTGCATTTCCAGACCTCTCCTACCCTGGCCTCAAGTTCCTCATGCTTCAAAGGAAAAAATACAGAAGCCAAGTAGGCATGACGGTGCACACCTTTAGTGCCAGCACTTGCGAGGCAGGGGTTGGCAGTTCTGAATTCAAAGCCAACCTAATGCATATAGCGGATTCAAGGCCAGACAGTCAGGGCTATATAGGAAGACCCTGCCTCAAAAAAACAAACA